TTGGATCTCTGAGTGGACACCCAGATTGTTGATGATGGAGTATTTCTGTTACTTGGTTTTCCTTCTACCAGTCTAGCCTCTTTGCTGTATGACCGCTGAGGTCCACTCCAGGCCCTGCTTGTCTGGGGTGCACCTGTAGTGGCTGCGGAACAGTGAGGGATGCTACCAGTTTCTTTTTCTGCTATCTTTGTCCCAGGATGATGTCTGCCGAATGTCCGTCTTATGGATATAGAGGGGTCAGGGAGTTGTTTGAGGAGACAGTCTGTAGGAGCTCAAGTGCTGAGCTGTGAGCTCTGTTGTTCATTCAGGGCTGCTAGGCTGCTATGTTTAGTTCTGCTGCAACCTAACTCGTAAGAAAACCCCTTTTTTTTCCTCAGATGCTCTGTCTGGGGGGGGGTTGGGGCTTTCCTTGTGAGTGTCCGCCTCACTGTCCTGCCCAGCTAGGAGGCAGTCTAGTCACTTTTTGCCTGCCGAGGCTCCGCCCTGTTGGTGTGAGGTTCGCCCTTTTCCTGCAGGCTCCGCCCTTCTGCTGTGGTCTCCGCCCTGTTGCCTCGGGCAACGCCCTGCAGCGGAGTCTCTCTGTTGTACCTGGTTGCCTCGGCAGCGGCAGGCTGCCTCAGCAATGGGCGTGTACCTCAGTAGGGGCTGATTGCCTCGGTGATGACTGACGCCCCTCCCCCGCGGAGCTGCACTTTAAAAAAAAAAAAACCTATTCACCGGGAGCGTTTGGAATCGCCGTTTTGTTTGTCGCACTGCGCTCCCCCAAACGCTGAGTCCCTGGGATTTCCTGGGCTGGGTCACAGTTCAAGACCCGTTCAGTCTCAAGTTCAGCCCTCTCGGGTCTTAGTTTGCCGGTTCAACAGGGCACCCGTAACAGTTCGCTTTTGTATGGAGCGCTGTGGAGCGCCTCTGCGCTCAGGCTCAGGCCGGAGCCGCACCGGCTGCCGGTTATGCCAGCGGAAACCTCTGCCTGGCGTCCCGCGTCTCTTTTATACCTGGGAATTTCCCTGTTCTGTGGGCAACTAAGATCCGTCTGGAAATGCTTCCCCGACTCACCCTCTCCGTGCGTCCAGCGAGAGCTTCAATCCTGGGTTGTTCTCACAGCGCCATCTTGAGTCCTCCTCCAAATTATGTTTTAAATATAGGAAAATGTAGGAAAAGTAAGTATATTTTTAATTTTTATTTTTTTAAAGGAAAACATAGGGTAGAAATTAGAGTGGCCAGAAGGGGGTTCTTTTTGGTTTCTTTCCCTTTCTCTCCTGTAAATTAAAAGCTAACTTAAAAATACAGTTTACTGTTTAGTTTTATCAATAAGGAATAAAGATAAAACCAGGGCTGCTAGATTTTCATTGCTCCCACTAGTTTAAACAAGAGATTTTTTTCTCTTTAGTTAATTCCTCTCTCCTACTTCCCTTCCTATCACTATTTTTTCTCAAGACCTATAAAGTGATCCCTGCAGTCCAGATTGGCCAGTGCTGCCTCTGCCCCCATCCTCAACCAAAGTTCTGTCTTTGCAAACCTTACAGAGAGGATTTTAGTGATGAACTCCCCACCAAACAGAAATTAGAAGTAAATTAGGAGAAAGGAACCTATTCCATTTTGATGATTTAAATGGTAGTTATAAAAACCTAGTTGCACTCTGAACTTCTTTTTGGGAGGGACTTTCAGAAACCATGGGCTTGAGTAGTAGCATGAAAGGCAGTGAATGGCCATGTAACATGATGTTTTAAAAGAGTGCTGTGTTTTCTGAAGAATTTGAGAGTTTGTAAAAGACCTCCAGAATTAGTAAGCAGATTCTGACTCATTTTGTAATATAGCTCCAAATCATCTTTCCATCCTATCTTACATAAGAAATACATGTAAGAACCATAATTTTTACTTCCTTTTTGTGCTCATTTTATAAAGGTAGATAGAGCAGAGCAATTCACCAGAGAGTGAATTAAAGGCAAAATTGTGATAACACATTATCCAAGTGAAATCTCAAGAGAAATTGAAACTGACATCATGTAACTTTTTCAAATAATAATTAGGTCCTGGCAGAAAAGAAAAGTCATATATCTATAACAATTGTTGAAGTTCCAAGTAAATAAGAAGTCAGGAATTCCAAGTTCAATATGTAAGACAAAAAATTATGTTAGGATTTTGTTTTAACATTGATGTGGTTTGGCTGTGTCTCCATTCCAATCTCAACACCAGCCCATGAAAGCAGCTGGGAGGGGGGCTGTACCATACAAAGCTACAGGGGCAGAGCTGCCCAAACAATGGGAACCCACCTCTTGCATCAGCATGACCTGAATGTGAGATCTGGAGTCAAAGAAGGTCATTTTGGAGCTTTAAAATTTGACTGCCTCACCTGATTTTGGACATGTATGGTCCCTGAACTCCTTTGTTCTGGCCAGTTTCTCCCATTTCGAATGACTGTATTTACTCAATGCCTGTACCCCATTGTATCTAGGAAGTAACTAGCTTGCTTTTGATTGTACAGTCTCATAGGTGGAAGGTACTTGCTTGTCTCAGATGAGACTTTGGACTGTGGACTTTTGGATTAATGCTGAGTGGAGTTAAGACTGAGGGACTGTTGGGAACGTGAGGACATGAGATTTGGAGAGGCCAGGGCAGAAGGATATAATTTGGTTGTGTCTCCAATCAAATCTTAACTTGAATTGTATCTCCCGGAATTCCCATGTGTTGTGGGAGGGACCCAAGGGAAGGTAATTGAATCATGGGGGCCATTCTTTCCCATGCTATTCTCATGATAGTGATTAAGTCTCACGAGATCTGATGGGTCTATTCAGGGGTTTACACTTTTGCTCCCTCCTCATTTTCTCTCCCCACCACCACATAAGAAGAAGTGCCTTTCACCTCCCGCCATGATTCTGAGGCCTCCCCAGCCATGTGGAACTTTAAGTCCAATTAAACCTCTTTTTCTTCCCAGTCTCAGGTATATATCTTTATCAGCAGTGTGAAACGGACTAATACAAATATGGAGAAAATGAAACTTTGATTGCTGGAATAATTCAAACAGTGTTGCACAGGCTGGCTTAGGGTCATGTTTCCTGAACTGGAGCAAATGGCAGTGGGAAATGCATTACTGAAACCACAGGATGAGCCTGCAGCTTCTTCCTCTTGTGTCAGTCTACATGTGGCTGGGGATAAAAGATTGGTAACTTAACTGACAAGAAATTCCAATGCCTTTGTGATGTCTTAATAAGGTCATGTTATGATGTAGAATATAAAATGATTTTGTTGTGACCTAAGGTTTATGTTCTCCCATATGTTGAAATCCTCACCTCCAATGTGATTAGAAGTTGGGGCCTTTGGGAAATGATTAGGTCTTAGGGAGGAACCCTCACAAATGGGATTAGAGTTCTTACAGAAGACACCAGAGAAAGATGCTTTTCCCCATCCACAATGTGAGTACATAGCAAGAAGATGTCATCAATGCGCCAGAAAGTGGGCCTACACTAGACACCAAATCTGTCAGTGCCTTGATCTTGGATTGTCCAGCCTTTGGAACTATGAAAAATAAATTTCTATTGTTTATAAGCTATCCCATTTATGATATTTTGTTATAGCAGCCCATACAGACTAAGACAAGTTTTTGCAAGGCAAGCCTTCAAGACATTTTGAATAGGCAAAGGTCTGCGATAGCTTGACTCCCTTAGCTGAGTAAATGCTTCAACAGCCAAACTGAGATTTCTTGTCTTGGCAGAGTGGTTGATTGATGTGACCTCTGATAAGTCATTTAAGTTTTCATGCATTAGGCAAATTGGTTATAGCTTTTAACTCAATTTAGGAATTATTAGAAAATTAGAATTACAGAGATGAATATTATATTACTTTAAATAACTGGTAAAATATAGAGGTATAAACATTACTGTAAGGGTGTTCATTCAAAGTTTTAGGATCTACCTCAGAGGAAAAGAAGAGAGGGGTTGGAAGCAGAAATCTCATGACCTACTGCAAAAACATAACTGTGATTTATAGGTGCTTACATAGCTTTGTCCTTTACCATACCCTAGTTCTCAGGGTTATCCTTTAAAACAGGGAAGAAATGCATTTTTATCACTCTGTGATTTAACCAGTGGACAAGATTATGACTTATAACCTTGGATTTTAAGACTGTCTATGAGCATAATTTGAAGATGAAATTTAATAGGGTTCTTCTATAGTCTTAAAAGAAGAATTCAATAAGGGAAGAGTTCTTTTATCTACTAGTGGTTTATAAAACAGATCCTGGGCATGACATCACAGTGCAATGTACTTGGTTCAGATTACTCCTTATTATCTATCGGTCCAACTACTGCAAACAGAAGATGCCCTTTGCTATTATAATGGGTCTCTGATGGGCATTACAGGAAAGTGTGCAAAAATAAAACCCCCAATATTCTTCCTTTTTAAAAATCTGATATTACTCCCTTTTTCTCCCCATTCATGTTTCTTTTGCTCTTAGTTGAATGGGAATGAGATGTGAAAATACATATATAAAATCATGCGTTCATCAAACACAGTTATCTTCTGAATTTTCCTTGTTTGGTTATTACATCGTTTTGGAAAACTTTGACAGAAATACATTAAGAGAAAATTGCATGAAAGGTAGGTCTATTGTAAGGTACTCACTTTTAATTAAAATATATCTAATCTTTTTTCAAGTATGGGCTTTTCGTATCTAATTATACAAAGACTTATGGCAGAGAAGAGGTAGCTGATTTTCTTTCTCTTATATTCCCTCCTCACTTACAGTATATTTTTCAGTATTTTATGTTGGATGCTTCTTTTTAAAAACCCTATACTCAAACAATTATATACTGAAAAGCAACTTTAAGATTATTATAAGGTGATTATACTAATGGATCTAATTTTCCATGCCTTTCTAATTCATGCCCATTGGTAGAGTCCTTATTCTACGTTGGCTGTGTGATTAGAACAAAGGGATTTTAGCAGAACTGATGCAAGCAGAAGGCTAAAATGTGTTTCTACATTTCTTCTTTCTTTTGTAGACTCCTGCCACCACCATGAGAAGATGCTGTTTCCAGCTTGAAGGAGAAATATAACAGAAGTCCAATGAAAGAGAGCTGAGTGTCCCCAATGATGCCATCGAGATGAGCTAACTACAGTTAACCAGCCAGGTGACAGCAGATACATGAGTGAGCCCATCTGAGAGCAGGTGAGCATAGCCCAGGGTAGCAGAACTGCTGAGCCAGTCCCTTAGTTGACTCAGAATAGTAAGTGGTTGTCTTCAGCCATTAATCGTAGAGTGATTTGTTATACAGCAATAGTATATCGATACAGGATCATTGGTTCCAGAATTCCCATATTAGAGATGAGAAAACTAAGGCTGGGGATCTACATTTTCCCCAACTTAATATAGCTACTAAACTCCCCAAATTTTAGAGTTGACAACTCTACTTATAAGTTATATAAAATCCGGAGCACCTAATTATTGACAAACTTCTCAATCCTTACCAGCTAGCTCCAGATGATAATGTATAAACTGTTTTCTGGAATTATTTTGATTAGTATTACACTTAAAGTTAAAGATTTTGTTAAGCCTAAGCATTACAGAAATTGTCATTCATGTGAAGTTATTCTCTTGTGCCTCGAAAAGCTATATTTGGTGTGCTGAGTTTGTAGTTGCATTTGATGCTTAATGGGGTTAGCCCTGTGAAGCATATTGCAAGTGTCCTCTAGAGACTGGACTGGTTTCCAATTGATTTCGAGTTGCAATTAAAATTGTTGTCTTTCACAAATAGCAACTACATTGTGTCAATTGATGACCTTTCAAAAACTACTGGAAATAAAATCTGAAACTTTGAAACTACAGTAGAGGTTACTCTGTAATATATGTGAGACCAGCAATCATGAATTGGGAGGGTTTCCTTTCAATTATGATTCAAGCTTCAGTATCCAAAATATAGAGTTTTTTACCTAATTATAGCTTATGGTATTGTATTTGGATTGAGAAATATAGTGATTCAGAATGGTTTTCTTTCCTAATAGTCTGCTATTTAGTGGGATTTTTTTTATTAAGCAGAAATCTCATTTTCTTTAAAATACTTTAATATCCTAGTATAGTAGATTTTTGATAATCTAAAAGTTTTAGGCTTTTTTTATTTTGGGCTTGGAGATAAACAATAATTAACACTCCTTAAATGTGTATTTCTTTCTTCTGATGATGACTTGCCTTTGAGGACCAGGTTCAAAACATATAGCACTGGAATTGATTCACTCTGATTTCCATTTATTTATTAAGTGTTTGCCTTTGTGCCAGTTTTGCAATGTCATCAGTTGGCTACAATAAATCTATATGTGCTCCGAAGAAAGTTGATTTCTTTAATTTTCCTCTCCAAGACTTATTTTTTCTGTGTGCTAAGCTTTAAAGGACTTAAAGGGATAAAATGTAAAGAAGTTGTTTTGATCCAAAAAGATATGCCTCAAAGTTTAAAGACCTATGTTCTTCTGTTACCCAAATTCAAAAGAACCAATATGGGTATCATTGTAATTATTACATAATTCTTAGTCATAAGTTATTGAGTCATCCCATGAGAGAGCAATTCATCTTAACATAGTCCCAATCTAATAACAATATTCAAGTCTTAAGTTCAGATCACATTTCCCTCCTGCTTATAGACCTTTCTCCTCAAATTTTGGTATTCATTAGGAAGAAGAGACCAAAGACATAGACTTCTTTATTAAGAAAGTGATAAACTTCATTTAGGTGTAACTCACCTGACAAAAAGGATGGGTTTCTGTAAACTAAGGTAAATATTAGATTTTGTGTGTGTAAATGAAGAAATCTGTAGACACATTTTGGGGACATATTAATGTGTAAATTCAAGAGTAACTCCTTTTAAAAATAAATATCTCTTACAAAATTTTATTCTTAGAAATTAAAAAAATGGAATCTATTTTATTTTCAATTGTACTTTAAACTCTGGGGTACATGTGCACACCCCACAGGGTTGTTGCATAGGTACATACAAGCCATGGTGGTTTGCAGTCTCCATCCCCCATCACCTACATCAGGCATTTCTCCCAGTGTTTTCCCTCCCTAGCCTCCCTGCCCCCTGCTGTCACTCCCCTAGCCCCCCAAACCCCTAACCTACCCCAGTGTGTGATGTCCCCCTCCCTGTGCCCACGTGTTCTTATTGTTCAACACCTGCCTATGAATGAGAACATGCAGTGTTTGATTTTCTGTTCTTGTTTTTATTATTGCTAAACCCATTTACTCCAACATTTTACTTTTCCTTTTTCTCACTATTCTTGAACCTATTAAAAGAGGAAGCAGCAAACATGTTGGAACAACATAAAAAATAAGGAAAAACAAAACAAAGAATCACAAAGAAACAAAATGTCTAGTGTCTTAATTACATGCTGCTATGTAATAAATTACCCAAAACTAAATGTCTTAAAACAGCGTATTTAGTATCTCACAGTTTCTGTGGGCTGGGAATGTAGGTAAAGCTTAATTGGATTTTCTGCTTAGGATCTTCCACAGGCTGCAATCATGGTGACATCTGGAGCTGTGGTCTAATTTCAAGGACCAACTATGAAAAGATCCACTTCCAAGCTCATTCATTTGATCTTTGGCATAATTCAATTCCTTGTAGGCCATCAGAGGGCCTCAGTTTCCTCCTGACTGTAGGCCAGAGGCTAACCTTAGTTTCTTGCCACCTGGCCACTTCTACATAGCAGCCTGCTTCATCAAAACTAGCAAGCGAGCGAGAGAGAGAATCTGCAAGCAAGAGGCACATCAGTCTATTGCAACTTAAGGACTAAAATGACAACCCATTGCTTTTGTTATATTTAATTCATTAGAAACAAGTCATTAAGTCCAGGGCAAACTCAAGGGAAAGATATCACACAAGGGTGTGAGATTATATGGGAGGAAGGGATCAATGGAGCCTGTCTTAGGAGTCCATGTATCATAAATAGAGTGGTTCAGTTGTTACTGTCTTAATATTATCTCCTTTTATGGAAATATTTAAAAATATTTTTGTTATCTATCATATTTTGTTACATATACTATATCATTACAGCCAAATGTGAGTATTGTAAGGTACATATACAAACAAATTACAAAAAATTTGTATTACATGGTAAGCATCCTCTCTAGAGTGCTCTAGCAGGGTTGGTATCCAGCTGTGTTGGGGAGCTTTTTTAAGGTTTGCCTAACCTGTGCTTTGCTCTCATCTATGAAAAGAAAAAGAAGTTTATATTTTTCTGCTGTTCTCCAGTATGGATCAAATATGATACAGACTGCAATAAAACTGAGAAATAAAAAGATGCAAAGCTCAGCATGATTTGTAGTTGCAACTGGTATTTCACACCAAATTGGAGAAACAAATTTTTAAAATTCATTGACTGTGCATAGCATTGCAACAACTAGAGCTGTTGAAAGAGTTAATATTCTTTGCATGACATCTAAGTGTGACGAATTTCAGAGATTGAGAATTCTTTGTAGTTAACAATATAGACTCTGATAACATAAGGAGCAGGTCATTTCAACATACATTGGCACAGAAGAGCAGATCTGCAACTGCGAAAGAGAGGAATCTAGACCCATCAGATAAGAAACATTTCTTTCCAGCTTTTCTGACAAGATTTTCATGAACTCCCTAGTATGAGGCTAAGGTAGACATTGAAATGCTAAATTCAGTGCTCATTGAAATCTACTTCTTCTTTCCCTCCAGGCTCATAGGAAGTTACACTTGTCAACTCTCTGCAGTTTGCTAGATCATATGACTTTGTGGCCAATGGATAATGAAGAGAAATGACATGTGTTACTATCTAGACCAAAGTATAGACGAATGGGTCTGAGCTCTCCATATTCGTTCTTCTTTTTGCTATGGGTACCAGTGATTTTTAAAATGGTAGAATATATGTCTACCTGAGTTTTTGATTGACTGTATAAGGAAAAGCCCCTGCCACTGATCAGTGACATGTGGTATGTTTAATTTGGTAACTCTTTTCTATGTTAAGGACCTTTATCTTAGTTTCCTGTTGTTACTATAACAAATTACCATGAACTAAATGGCTGAAAACAAAGCAAATTTATTATATTATAGTTGTGGGATTGTGAAGTTCTAAAATCAAGATGTTGTCGAAGCTGTATAGAGATATTAGATACTCTTGAGGAGAATCTATTTCCTTGTGTTTTGCAACTTCTGCAGGACACCAGCATTCCTTGGCTTCTGGCCCCTTCCTTCATCTTCAAAGCTAACAGCATTACATCTTCAAATCTGTGTTTCCCTCTCCTTGTCTCCCTGTTTGCTGCTTCTAATTTCACATTTTCTTCTCTCACTCTGGCCTTCTTGCCTCCATCTTATTAGGACCTATGTGATTACTTGGACCCACCCAAATAATCCAGTATAGTTCCCCGTCCCAACATCCTTAACCTAATCTGCAAAGCCCCTCTTGATAAACAGGGTAATATAGTCACAGGTTCTTGAGATTAGGATATGGACACTATTGTAGACTATATTAGTCCATTATGCATTACTATAAAGGAATACTTGAGACTGGGTAATTTACAAAGAAAAGGGGTTTATTTGGCTCATGATTCTGCAGGTTGTGCAAGCATGGCACCTGTATCTGTTTGGCTTCTGGTGAGTCCTCAGGAAGCTTACAATCATGGCAGAAGGCAGAGAGGGAGCCAGCACATGACATGGCCAAATAGGGAGTGATCGAGAAAGGAAGGAAATGCTAAGCTCCTTTAAACAACCACATCTTGTGTGAACTCACAGAGTGAGAACTCACTCACTACCGTGAAGATAGCACCAAGCCATTCTTGGGGTATCAGCTCCCATGACCCAAACATCTCCCATTAGACCCACCTCCAATACTGGAGGTCAAATTTCAACATGAGATTTGGAGGGGAAAAACATTTACATCATATCAGAGACCATTATTTAACCTAACATTTTCTTGGAATTAGCGGTTTGTGTGTTACCGCAGCATAGTTTAATGTATGCTGAGGAATATGAAAGCCACAGTAAGTTAATACCAAAACCTCATTGGACATTAACTGTAGAAGTATGCCCAAATTAGCTATTTAGCAGACATAACCGGTCTCAACATTTCTTTGTCTTCATGAGGTTGCAAATTATAGAAGTTGCTTATGAAAGTTATGTACAAAATGCACAAAAATAAGAATTGTCTGTCATG